CCCCCCCCCCCCACCCGCCCCAACCCCCTTTCATCCCACGGACATGGCACGGCCACCCCAGAACGCCGCGCCGCCGCCGCCCCCTCCTCCCCCGATCCCCGGGGCCGGCGTGAGTCAGGTGAGCGTGTTTTTATGGAGTGTGTACGGGGTGAGGGGGGAACTTTTGTGCGTGCGTGTGTGTGGTGTGTGTGTGTGTGTGTGGGGGGAGTTGTTGTACTGCAGTGAGGGGGGTGTCGGGTGTTTTCCCCCCGCACACCCCCCCGATCCCCCAGGGCGGCGGTGGTGGATGCGGGGGGATCGCGGTGAGGGTGTGGGAAGGCGCGGGTGAGGAGTGGGAGGGAGGCAGCGGGGCTGCGGGCGAGCCTTCCTCCCCACTCTCCTCCTCCTCCTCCTCCTCCTCCTCCTGCTCGTCCCCCCCCCCAGCCCCGCTGACGCCCCCTCCTCTCTCTGTTCCAGGTGTGAAGCCGCCGCCGGCAGGAGGTCGCTCCCCCCCTCCCGCCCCCTCGCAGGGGGCAGCCCTGACGCTGGGGTTTTCCTTTTTTTGGGGGCTTTTTTAAATTTTTTTTTTTAAATTTTTTTTTTTTTTTTGGCCCCACCGCCTCCCTCCCTCCCTCCTTCCTTCCCTCCCCTCGCTCCCTCCCTCCAGGAATCCAGCGCTGCACCGAAGCCAGAAGAGAGGGAGCAAAAAAAAAAAAAAAAAAAAAAAAAAACCCCACCCCAGGCGCCGAGCAGAGACCGAAAACAAACCCCCCCTTCGCGCGCCGCAGAGGGGGTTCTTTTTTTTTTTTCTTTTTTTTCCCTTTTTATTTTTAATCACCGTTATTATTTTTATTATTATTATTATTATTATTATTATTTTTATTTTGAATAGCCCTGCCCCGAGCACGGTGGCGGCGGCGGCGCCGGGGGCAGGGAGGCTGTCCCGGTTATTTATTCTCTCCCCGCAGAGCTGTCCCTCCGGCTCACCATGATGTTCCGAGACCAGGTCGGCGTGTTGGCCGGGTGGTTCAAGGGCTGGAACGAGTGCGAGCAGACTGTTGCGCTGCTCTCCCTGCTCAAACGCGTCAGCCGGACCCAGGCTCGCTTCCTCCAGCTCTGCCTCGAGCATTCCCTGGCAGACTGCACCGAGCTCCACATCCTCGAAGGGGAGGCCAACAACCCCGGTGAGTGGCGTGTCGCCGCGACCCTCCCCGAGCCGTGCTCTTAACGCCGTCAAAATTTATAAAAAAAACGTTAAAAATACACCCAAGAGACGAGCGCGGTGTGGGAGAGGGGGGCTCCCCGGCTCGATTGCGGGAACAGCTTCTCTCCTTCTCTCCTCACGTTTTATTTTCCGAACGGGGTTTGGCTTGTTTCAGTTTGGTTTTTCACAGCAAACTACACTCCGCTCCATGGCGTGGTGTAACTACGGTAGCATGAATGATTGGTGGGTTTTTGTTGTTTTTTTTTTTTTTCCTCTCCCCCCCGCGTCCCCCCCTTCCTCCTTCCATGCAGTTTCCTGTGAAATAAGTAAGTCAGGTCACGTAGAGTCTGGATTTTCTGGGCTTCTTTTGGACAACGTGGCTTGATTTGCTCTCTGCAACATGCAAAAGCAGCCCATCGCTACCTCAGACGAACTGTTGTTGTATAAAGGTCTGGGTAACTGGGTTATCCTGTTTTTTTTAATTTTTTCCTAAATGTGGCAATTCCTATTTCACCATTCAGATCCTGTTTGGACGCATTTTTTTTCCCCTGCAGCTCTGAATACCCCTCTTGTGTTTCAGCGGAGCTCTAAGAAAATATGAGTGGACTGTTTTATGTTTCTGAGGGTGCAGGACAGAAAATGTGTGCGTGGCTATGGAAGGTGTATTTTGCTTTTGTTTATTCACCATTACAAGTTGCTCAACTCCTGGGAAGTAAATGGAGTTAGAGCAGGATGGAAATGGCACAAGCGCCGGGCGAATCGTGCCGTGTGCTCCTCTATTTATTTTTGGGGAGGGGGTGGTTGTTACAGATGTGTGTGTTCCTGAGGGGGGATGTAAACAGGGACGCAAGTCGCTTAAAGTAGAGTTTTTGCAACACAGAGACAGAGCAGGGAAGGCAAAACGTATTTTAGTGTCTTTTAGTTGCCTGGTTCTGTTCCTCCAAGCCCTTCAAAAAAAAAAATCCCAAATCGTAAAAAAAACCCACCCAACCCAAAAAAAAAGCAAAGCAACCCCCCGTGTTGCAAAGCATGCCTTTGATTTAAAATCCCCTGGGGGGGATTGGGATTTGGGTTTCGGGCTGTGCACGGCGAAGCGGTGCCGGGGAGCGGCCGCGTTCCGTGATGGGTGGAAATCTTGCGGCCGGATCCCGAACAGAGCCCCCGGTGTGGACGGGGCGGGAGGAATGCAGGGTCCTTCTCCAGCTGTTCCCTATTAGAGCACCGAGCCGGCAGGGTTTGGCAGCTGCCTGCGCTGCCATTTGATGACAAGGTCCAGCGCAGCGCCGTGTTCCACCGAGAGGAGGACGGATTTAAGTCCTCCTGCAGGAAACCGAGCCCGGGGCTGCTCCGGCGCAGAGGGATCGGGGCTGGCTATGGGGGAGCCAGGCTGGAATTGGCCGTTCCCTTATATAGCTTGTAGGAATGAGAGGGAGGAATGCCACGTCTGGGCGCAATACTGCTGCTTTTATAAACAGCTGAAGGGATGAACCTCATCCATCCCTTTGGGTGGGGAGGCCCCGGGGGGGCCTGGCAGGAACACGCTCTCCAAGCTCGGCTGCTCCGAGATACATTTGCAGCCTCCCATGGCAGCCTTAGCACAGCCTTGCTGTGATTCCCTCTGCGAGTCGGCGTAAGCCGTATATTTTTAATTTTATGCTTTTATCAGCATTGCAGTTTTTCATTCATACTGTGGTTTTGGTGGTAGCCCGGTTCCCTTGGTCGGTCAGGGGATTGGAGGGGGGTGACTTGCACCCTGACGTCAGGAAAGGCGAATTATGAAGGAAACCAGGGTTTTGAAGTGTTCCCGGACGCAGAGTCACGTAGGGCCGCCTGTGTGGTGGCGTTTCCTCGGGGTGAGCCGGGGTGCAGCCCAGGGGTTGGGCCGTTCCCATCCCCGCTCGTGCGAGCAATCCCTGCTTGCCCCTGTAATCCCGTTGACCTTGCTTGGCGCGAGGATTTCTCCTGCGCGTGGAGCTTGGCATCCCGCCTCCTGCCTGTCCCTCAGTGCGTTGGTGGAGCTGCCTGAGCTCTCCCTGACGTTCCTTCCAAAAACGAGCTGCTCCTCCAGGGCGTTTGTAACTCCCCGTGCCAAAACCTGGATCCGTTGAGTGCCTCTGTCTCACCAAACACACCCCCACGTAGGCTTTCCCATGGGATGGGCACATCCATGCGTCCTGTGCAGCAGGATGTGTGCTTTTCCAGGCAATCCTGTTGCAGTGGAGGGAAGGTTAGCTGAGATTTGCAAGCAAGATCTATTAAGTAATGGCTTTATAGTCTCCAGTGTTAGCACTGCCTTCTTCATGAAACCACCTGTATTCCTTAAGTCGCTCCTGTTCCGTGCCTGTTTTGCAGTCTGGCGCTTGTCACTTGCCTGGCAGTGGAATCACACCAAGTCCTGAGCAGCAACGTCATCATCCAACCTTGTGCTACTCGTTACTCTTTGAATCCTGGTGTTTGCATAACTAATTTGGGCTCGATTCTCTCCTGGGCTGGGGCCTGAGGTGGCTCCTGGGATGTTTTCCTGTTGTTTGCTGGCTTGGAAATGGTGGCTCCCTGCTTGTAGGTGCCCCACCGGTCTCCCTGTTGATGTTGGGGTCGTGGTGGTGCTGGTGCACAAGGGACTGTGGGGTGATGGGGTTGCACAGCCCTAATGGTCTGTAGGAGTTTGCTGTAAGGTGTGGGATGTTCCTGTTCCATGGGGCACGAGTGAAATCCATTGTCTGGGAAGGGACTTCGGCAGTGCCGGGCTGAATGTAACATGCTGGGCTGATGTGCCGCAGCAAGTGTTGGAATTACGCTGGGTCCTCATGGGAAGTGAGTTGTTTTGTACATGCAGGACCTGTTGCTTGTCCCAGCCCTGTGGGGAGGTGGGAAAACTGGAATATTACTCCTAGTTTATGGTCATTCAGAGGAGGTGGCAGCCCTGCTGTTGTGATCCGTGCTGGATGAACACCATCCTTGGCAATATCATCACCAACAGTGTTGGTCCCAAAGGGAGAGCAGAGCTTTGAGATCCTCACTGGCTGGTGGAGTTGGGGCTCATGAGCTTTCAGGTGTGTGGAACAGGCAGAGAGGAAAACTCCTCTCAGTGAAGGTGTCCAGCTTGTTTCTTGCCTGGTGACAGGTCTGCCATATGCCAGATGAGATGGGAAAACCTCAAGGAAGAAAAAATTACTCTTTTTAACTAGTTAATTGCTGTGGAGAAGCAGGTACATTTAGTTTGAAGGAGTTCTATCTTGGTTTTTTTCCAAGTGTGAAGGTGTTTTCATAATCACAGCCAAGCTCTCCGTGTTAGGACTGCAAACCCAGCGTGGCTCTGCTGTGTACGACCCTCAGAAGGCCCTGAGGAGCCTCCTGCTTCTGTGGTTTTTTGGATTCCTGCTCAAGCATGGGTAGAACCACGTTGCCCACCTCAGATGAGAGATGCCTGCGAGACATCCTGCAGAAAACTACATCGGTGTCTGGGAGCAGACCAGTGTGGTGACTGCTTGTGGTGTGGGGGCTGCCCAGGTGGCTGTGAGACCACCTTCCGTCTGTGGTCTTTTTAAAATTTAAAGGCATTGCTTGATTATAAAAGGAAAACAGAAGTGGGAAGCCAACATGGAAGGAAATCTGTAGGTTTCTTCATTGGTGAAGTGCACATCTTGGGGTTGTCCTACATGGAGGCCTCGACAAGCTTTAATGGTTTAACTGGTGAAGAATGTGGGTTATTGCTGATTCAGTTTGAGCCTGAATGGCTTGGCCTGCTGGGCATGGGGGAGAATATGGAAACCATATTATCTGTGCACAGAAATAGAAGTTTCAGGTATTGCACAGCACTATTTAAAAGCCTGCTATAACTTCCTTCCTTCCTTCCAGCCTGGCCTTGCTGGGCAGCTTCAGCCCCAGCTGCTCAGAGCCGTCAGGACGCGGCGACCTCCTTGGAGCCGCCGGTAAAGGTCAGACAGGAGCATTCTGTGCCCTGTGGGAAAGGGACCTGTGCTCTTCCTGAGGCACTGAGAGATGCTTGGTATGGGGTACAGACCCAGTGAACAGATAGGGAGGGCTGTATCCATGAAAAGTGGTCTGTAGGCTTTGGGCATGGAATGCAGGATGTGCTTCTGCTTTCGTCTGCTTGGGTATCCCCTCTCTGGGATGGCCAGAAGTGTGACTGGGTTTTTTTTTTTCCAAAGTAGTCCCACATCCCATCCCACCAGCCCTGCTTTCCTGTGCTCTCTGCTGGTCCACAGAGGTGCCCAAAGGCTCCTGAGGGTCATCCAGGCATCCAGACACCCACCTGTACCAAAGGAAGAGCGGCAGCTTTAAACTCCTGGCCTTGAAGGACAGCAAGCTTTCCCTGCCCTGTGCACAGGACATTAACTGCTCCTCCACGTGTTAGGGCCAAAATCTTTATTTCACTTCAGCAGGCTGTCAGGTATCACAATGGGAGCATTGGGATGACCCAGATTCCTCATCCTGGGAAGGGAGGACTGGCTGGAGGAAGAGACAAGGGTTGCAGGGAGCCGTAATGTCTTTTAATAGACCAAG